ATTTTGAAATATTTGTTTAACTGTTATTTATTTTTTCTACAGAAAAATTTTCTTTCTATTCTCTTAATCTATTCTATTTTTTTAAGTACCCCATTCTATATATATTGTTTTCATTATCTCATGCATATCAAACTCCACTACATTCTCCTGGCAACTGTCACCGATATATATATACATTATTTTTTTCGTTCTATTGAACGAACATCAGCTGATTTTGGTAGCTGATCAACGTATCACTCTCTTTTCAGTAGGCTGAAGAAAGATAAAGCAAATGTTAGAATTGTCGAGTAAATGAATGAAAAAAAAAAAACGTCAGTTATACACTCATTTATTCTTGATTTAGACTACACGGAAATAGATGACCCCCTTCTTCTTGCTGACAGCAACGAATGGCATAAAGTAAGAGTGTATATAAGTAATTGTTAAAAAAAGACTTGATACATGCAAATGAACAAGGAACATTTATTACACATCAAACTAACAGATATACCCGATGAAATGCTTCTATTGATTTTGAAGAAATTGACAAATATTGAAGTACTTTATTTTCTAATAGACGTTAGTATACGACTTGGTAAAATCGCAAGTAATCCTCTCTTTACTGAACATTTAACATTAATGACACGTTCGTCGACTGGTCTTATTAATTCATTGGATAATTCGATACTTAATCGCTTTTGTTCAGAAATATTACCTAGAATTCATTGTAAAATCAATTGACTCACTCTTGAATAATTATGTATGGAACCTATTCTTCTTACTGCTGACTACCCTAATTTACGAATACTATCTCTTTTGAATATTGAACGTGAAACAATTATACGATTGTTTTGTGGTAACTAGTTTCATTTTGAGTGATTTATTCGTGAAATAGTTTACCTTGAATGAAGATAGATCACACAGCATTCTTCATATAGTTGAGTAAATCGTGGCGTATTATGTATTTCAAACGATTTTTAAATTTAGTTATAAATGACAGTGAGATAAATATCAAGAGATCTAATACTATAAACATAATATAAAGATCTTCATCAACAGTAACGAATTTTCGAGCTTAGATTTGCAAAAGAAGGTAGTGTTTTTCATTTTATATGTTTAGAGAACACTCATTTAGATCGCATCTTCAGCACTTATATTACCACACTAACTATTACAATCGCCAAAAATAAAATGATACTATTCACATCAGATATAATGAGTATATTGTGTACTTATGTCTCGACTAAGTTTAACAATTTAATATGTTTAAAATTTCATCCATATTCTGATTATTATATTGATAGTATTGAACGATTATCATTCGAATCAAGAGAAAATACAAAATTTTTTTCTTCAAGTTTAATGAAATTGTATATCAATGTTGATGACTTTACTAACTGTCTTTATTTGCTTGACGGTCGTTTTAAACAACTTCATACCTTTTATGTTAATGTGCATTACTTGATGCCTCCATCGTCAACGATTATTAACAAGGTAGATAATTTAGTTTAAGGAAACAAGTAACTTTTTTTTTATTTTATTTTTAGGAAGAGTTAATCCATTTGAAATGTTTTTCGATGATTTCTGATTTAGATACAATGTTTTATGAACAATTGATTGTGCCTTTATTGCATCGAATGTCGAATCTATAAGAACAGATCTTGAATCTTTCCATCTATCGTACTGCTTGTTATGAGTCATTTATCAATAGAAATAATTTGAAAAATCATATCATCAGTCATATGCCAAAATTAAATAAATTCGTCTTTAGTATACATTGAAATTTACGTCTTAATGATTTAGATCATTTACCATCAAACGACGACATTCAGCGCACATTTAAAGGTCTTGAAGAATATCAAACTATTACTTATATCGATTATTCGAATCATGATAATGGTTAGTGTCGTATCTATTCACATTCGTATACAATGAATTGTTTATATCGACTGACAAATAGTTTTCCAGGTGGATTATTCAAATTTGTTCACGAAGTGTCACTAATTGACAAACATCGTTTGAATATGAATTTTTCATTAGAATCGCTCAAACATTTCCATTTCTTAAAAACATTGATTCTACACAATCGATCACCACAAAATCACAAACAATATCAACAATCAACCGAAAACTATAATGGTTTGTCAGTCATTGAATATCCTGATCTTACTATAATCAGTCTCTTAGCTGCTCATGATGACTACATTGAACAATTTCTACTTCATACGAAAACCCGTCTATCAAATTATATTAGCCTTCATATTAATTATCATCGTCTTCAAAGATTAACCAACAACTTCACAAGAGACGCGACATGAAATAACTGCGCAAAAGTCAAATATGTATATATATATATATATATATATATATATGATATTGCTAAATTGGACGTTCCCAAACATTTTTACCTATATTTTCCTCATGTCGAAAAATTGTGACTTTTGTTTAATTAATTGAATAAAATCAGGAAAAATATCTTCAACTTAGATTATTTAAGTTTGTGTAACAGAAACACAATATGACTACTAGCATGCTATTTTAACTTGTGAAGCCCAATGTATCCTGTTCCATAAGTAAAAAAAAATGTCAGATAAATACTCTTGTTTCGATACAATAGAAAGCACAAAAAGCAGTCATTACTCAATCATTATAGCCATTTATTTTGATGCATCAAAACAAATTATTTAGTTTGTTTATCATGTTGACTTTCATGGTCCAAATCAAAATGATTTGCTAATATACTTAAACTTAAATGCACATGTTTTGATCTATGCATATATCAACGAGACAAAAGAAAGAGTAATAATACAGCATCAGATACTGATCGTTGAATTTTATTTCTTTTATATTATCATCATCTAAAATAATCATATCGAATAGTATACAGCAAAAAAATACTAGGACATCTAATCAATGCTCCTTAAAATAAAATATCTGTGTTAATCAATTTGGTACAGGATGAGTATAAATTATTTTTGCTTCTTTTTCATTTTTCATCCTGGTGTTAATCGGTAGTGACAGGATCACCAGCACCACTTGTGACAGTACAATGATAAATTGGCTTTTTCTTGAAACCTTGCATTTGCTTATCAAACTCTTTAAATATTTCAGTTATTTTGTCATTGATAATAAAAGCGAAAATAATTATTACGGAAGAGAACGATTAAAATAAAGTTACACACTATTTGTCGTCCTTGATATCGATATTTTTATTTATTATCGCGATCACTTTTTCGTAGATTTTTTTGTCCTAAAAATAATCAACAGTTTGAAATAAAATATTTCGTTATTTTAGGTATCTAATTTGAAGATAACATTGGAATTCATCACCGGCAGAGATCATCAATACTTCAAATACATGACCTTCATTTTGATATTTCAATCTCGTTGAAGATAACTATTCCCATACTTGTTCAATTTCAATTTTCTTTAAAAAATAAATAATATGTTTCGGAAAGAAAACTTTCTTACTTGAAAATTTTTCATCAACGAATAATTCTGTTTATTGAAATACATATCGGCAGAAAAGAAACAAACATCGATAATTTTTTTGATGATTTGTGGATGTTCAATTATAATTTCTTTTATTGTTGGTGCCGTTGTCATTATGAATAATCTAAAAAAGAAAAACAATAGTGAAAGTGAACTATTTTAGTTTTCTTCGAGTGATATGCATCAGAGATGGGCAGCTCCGACGTTTTCTCGCTCCAGCTCCAGTCGCTAATGATTCGCTTCGCTCCGACCCCGACTCTAGCTCTGCTCTAACGAAAATTTTTTTGCTTTTTTCCTTGAAGTTTGATGATGTTTAGTGAATTTCACGTTTTATTTCAACATGTATGTATAGAATATAGAAAAAAAGAACTAATTCTGAATATATTGAAGTTAGCTTGATTACGATGTGAAGATTATTTACTATGAGAAATAGACTAGTGAAGTATAGCAGGTGTCGATTGCATTTAAATAAAGTTAGCATTGAGAGCATATTTTTAGAGAGTCAACTACGATGAGGACGCATGAATATGCCGCTTGTAAAAAAAACACCAGTTCTATTGGAGCGAAGGTAGCCGGTACACAAAGCACTCTTGTAGCAAGTCGATGCAACTATGGATAAGAATCTTTTTTTTCAAAAAGACTAGGTGAGCATCATGACTAAGTTCCTTTTCGAACATCGAGATTTTACTTTCGATCGATTCAGACATACATGAACATTTTTTCTACATGGTTGTGTTTTGTCCTTCGTAGCCAGAAAAGAGTCGTTTGCTTTTGAAATTCGGTAAGTTGTTCATTGTGTCGTCATCAGTTGTGCAGTTCTCAGTAATGGACGATTCGATGATGCATTTTGAATTATTGTTTATTGTACCGTGCAACTACAATGCAGCTTTGAACACAAGCGTTTTGATTATGTTCATAATTCGTTCCTTCATTGATTCTGATAAATTTAATGCTAAACCCATTTTAGCTTGAAACATCTTTGTAAAGGTCGCTGGCAGAATGTTTCTTCATTTTCATACTAGTATTAGCAAAAACTTCGCACCGTTCAAGTAGTTCACCGAAACGCTGGTGTAGAGAATTGAGAAGTGTTCGACATAGTGATTCAAGATATTTGCAGTCAGCCTGTTCGCGTTCGAGATCAAAGTAAACTGAGAGAATACTAGGTGTGACTAACGATATTGAAGTAAATTTTTCGATTTGCGTACGACTTGTTGCTTCGATGAATAATGCGAATATAGTGGCGAATTCTTGGAGTATGATAATATCACGAGTCATCAAAAGAAGATCGGGGCGGCCAGCATTGCATAGGAGATCGTTGAGCAATATGTGCGAGATTTCAAGCACTTTGCAAATTGCATGAAGTTGTGAGTTCCAGCGCATTTTCACCGCTACTGGAACACGGATGTTTTCTCGCTGCCGATTCTTGGCAAATACTGTCGATTTGTGACTAGAATATTAAACAAGAATAAGACAGAATAAACATAGATTTTTGCAGAATTTTTCACTATTCATAAATTTTGATAAGTATCTTACCTAAGTTTCGCAATTGCTGCAACTTTAGCAAGAGCTGGTTTTGCATTTTCACACTCTTTCAAACCATCACCAACCGTAAGTTGTAGAGTATGGGAGAAGCATGGTATACGAAGACGTTCTTCTTGATCATTCATGTTGTTTTTTTTATACTCGAGTGCCTCTGATTCATCATAATGTTCGTCTTCGTCATCCTGAGGCTTAAAATAAACTTCAAATCCTGGTATTATAAGTTCATCAAACGCCTTTGTGTTGTTTGATGCGTTGTCTGTGACTATTCGAACTGCCTTGTCTTCGATATTAAAAGTGGCAATAGCGTCTTCGAGATAAGGACGTAAATTGTCGCCTGTATGTGGCCCTGAAATTAACACTTTTAATGAATCATAGTAATGCTCAGCGACTGATCTGGAAGAGATTGAAAAGTAAGCAAATAATTTCGGAAGGTACCATCGTTTTTTACAATAATATGCATTGTGATTCCAATGAACGCGCGTATTCTACAGTGAGACCATTCGTCAAGAGTGAGCGCGACGAACGTCGCGTCACTAGAGACTTGTTTTACTTTGATCATGACTTGTTCAAGAACAGATGGTAGTATTTCACGACAAAGTGTACGTCGAGACAAAACAGTAAATCTTGGATAAATGGTGTTCATCGCGCGTAAGAATGTTGGATGATCGACAATAGGAAGTGGCAATCCCAAGTCGATTATCAAATCAGGTACAGTCATTTGTGTAAGTTCTAATTGGGGAAGGTTGTGAGCGCCATATTTCTGATCGACTAAAAAATCAATATATATTCCTAAGCAATGTTATTCAACGATTATATATCTCGCTGCCCAAATGATTGTTGAATTGTTGGTTGTTTCTTGTCATGGTTTCATTTTTTGGTCTTTGGTTCTAACTTTTATTGATCAATTTCTTTTGTATATTTACGCTGAACATGACGTCCATAGTTGTATGTTGAGGTTGTGGGTTGTTTCACAATAGTACGGCATAATAAGCATTTCGCAGATCTTGTACCATTACCATGCACCTGCATCTCATCGAAGAATTGTTCAAGAACAGTGTGAGTCATTTTTTCGATGTTATATAATTGCAGAGTATCATTATTGTCAATGACAACAGGAGAAGATGATTCATGCAATCCATCTTGCTCAGTTTACGATGACGATTGATCATATGATCGTTCTGACATAGAAAAGTTTGTTAGTTCAACTTTCACTTTAATAAGAAATTTTGTTCTGTTCTATCATAGCTCACTTCTCACACATTTTATATTATAGAATTTTCTTTCCTCATTGACGTCGTGTTCATACATTTTCAAACAAACAATGGCGCAGTCAAACGGTCGTAAAGCAATCGATTAAATGAACGGTCAGTCATTGTCTTGACCATTGTCATTGATTAAAGTATAACAATGGCATATTCACTACAGTGAATCGTCGATGACGAGCTTTCCTTTCAATAATTCTTTCATCTTTGTTCACAGAAGAATAAAGTAAAAGATGAAGCCATGGTTGGAGCCGCCCATCTCTGATGTTTATACAAAAATTTGTTTTTTTTAATCAACCCTTGCTCGAAAATAAACTTGAACCACATAAATTCAGTTGCTTATTGATTGTTGAGATCTAAATAATCACTCAATGTCCCTTTTTTTCTATATTTTTTCAAATATCTCAGTATTTTATTGCTAAACTAAAAGAAAAGCTATCTTCACAAGGTTTATTTTTCCAACATAAAATCAAGGAGAATAATGAATTGTATTCACAAGAGTTTATTCATATACATTATAGTCTGGCCTCCGATTACATATTTTCGAAATTAAGAATTCGCATAAAGGATTTCGTTTTCTGAATTATACGATTATTTTCACTAGAAAAAGTAAAAAATTGACCAAAATTTAGGTGTTGTATGTCGAACAGCGCCTCAAATGTATGTGCTTTACTTGCAAGAAACAACTATTCATATTAACTGTTTTTTTTCGTAAAAAGTGATCACGGGCGGAGGGAGGGATAGCGCCACGAAGATTCCTGTACTTCTCCTTAGGGTGAAGTCAAATCTCGTAAAATTTTTCCACTTTTTTTGACAAAATATAGGAAAAATAGGAATTATAGGACGAATCGGAGCCCAGATTATAGTCTGTCGAACTCATCTCAGATTTGAATCAAAATCAATATTTAATACATCTAAAAATATTTTACCGATTTTTTTGGCACCTCTCCAGTTTTTTTTTTTGGTAACGTAAATGTATACAGAGCAAGATTTTAATTCTTTTTTTTCATTGGTGGTCTTAAAGTCTTATGGTACTGCACGGATCTAAACATCATGACTCATGACAAACTAGTTGTTTGGCATGTCACTAAAAATTTCTCATCGTTTTTTTTCTTATTTTTTCGTCATATCTTCTTCAAACAAAATATGTGTATTTATAGTTCAGTTACATATGCAAAAACGAAAGATGAATTACTCATTACATTTTGTATTCGTATTTCTTTAAAAACAAAAGTTATTATTTTCAGATGTTTACAATTAACCATTGGTTTCATCGAAATCCTTTAAAATCAACGGCTCTTGTGTCGTTTGATCATCGAACATCACCATCAAGCACAGATGCTATGCAAATATGCCAGTAAAATAAAAATAAATTCAGGATTTCAAATTGAAAATAATTCTTCTTTTTTTTTCTTTGTAGTCAACTTCGTCAATTACGTTTTGATCTTTTGCAATTATTATGTAATCCAACGCTTGAAACGTCAAATATTCGAGATATATTTGATCAATATATGTCATTATTAACTGGTTTTGTAACATCACCAGACGGTAGTAGTGATGATTCGAAGTTACGTTATACAACAAAATTTTATTGGAGTGATTCATTAACAAAAACCGATGTTATAACGTATGAATAAAATAAAAAAATAAGACCAACAATATTTTTATATTGAAATTTTTTTTAGTGATGTTCAAGATGCACAATTTGAAATATGCTGTATGACAATAAATGTCGCTATGTGGTATACAAAACATGCTGCATATGTGGCATCTAAGAGTAGTATGTGAGTAATATGAAAATTAAATCTTGTTATTTAAATTTAAATTTTCATTAAAAAAAACAAGGCCAAGTGACAAAGATGCACTTGATGTACATAAATCACTTCGAATTGCAGCTGGAATGTTGAAACATGTTATGGTTTGTGAATTTTATTTTTTTTATGATATTTTATTTTTTCTATACAAATAAAATAGGATGTTGAAGTTCGAAAATTACAAGATGTTAAATTACCACCTTGTTCTGATCTTAATGAGAAAGTTCTTGCTGCTTATTATTATAGTTGTTTGGGAGAATTTCATGAAGGTTAAATTTATAATTAGAACAATTTTTGATGAGAATTCTTTTTTTTATAATTATTAATTTATAGTTACGGTAGCACGAGCAATGAGTGCTAAACAAGATAATGCACTTATTTCAAGTATTAGCAATCAAATATCACAATATTTTGATATGGGAGGTAAAGAAAAATAAATTTTATCATATGATATATTGAAATAATATCCTCTAGGTCAACAATTAGCATCATTAGATGAAAAAGTTGTTGGACACTGGCGTATGTACTTTGGTCTTAAGTCAAAATTTTATTTAGCTGAAGTACGAATTTTTATCGAAGATTTTAGAATATTGCATAGTATTATTTAGGCACGTGCTTATCAAGCATTGGATTTTCTCAAGAAAAATGATGCACCAAATGCTTTGAAAGCTGCTGAAGAAGCAAGCAAAGGTAAATAAGTCATAGTTACTTTTCTTTTCGCTAATATCAATTGATCTATATGTAGTTCAACAACAAGCAGCTAGTTTTTGTGAACAATATTCTAAAACAAAAGGAGCTGGATCACCACAACGTCATCCATTTTTTCTTCAACTTGATTCATTAATTCGTCGTGTTCAATCAACAGTTGAATTTGAAAATAATATTATGTTTGTTTTTGTTTTTCTCATAATTACTCTCATAATTATATTTTTTTTTGATTTCTTTAGTCATCATAAAAGGGCTGCAGCTGACTTACCATCACTTGACAATAATCCAACACATGGAATTTTACCTGCTGAAGAATACATTCCAGCTAAATTAAATAGTTTATTTTCTCCGAATACTTATCGAGCATTTGATATTGGTCGAAACGTTGGCAAAGTAAGAAAAAAAAGCAAGCATTTATTCTTTTTTTAATACTTAAACGTTTCTTTATTCTAGCCATATAAAGAAGACAAACGTGCACGCGAAATAAAAGAAGCTCGAGAAATGCCAATACCACAAGGAATGCCACCATCAGAAAGTGCTTGTACTATTGCTTAAAATGATTTTATTATGTACATTGATCGTCTTCTATTCATTTTTCTTTATTCTATTAAACATTTTATGCGTATTTAATAAAAAAAAACTAATAACAGAACAAAAACAAAACAAAAGAAAAGATTTCGCTTTTTTTCTTCCTTTTCTTTTTTTAAAAATTTGCTGATATATATCTTCGTGGCATATAAAAATAAATAAAAAAAATGAATAGTGGTATACCAATAAGTAGACCAAGGGCCAAAATAAGTGGTGTTAAAATAAATGTACTTATAAATACAAATATACAAAGAAAAGCACGACGAATTGAACCCATATCAAGTTCAAGTGTATATTGATAGAATCTCTTTGTTATTATTATTGGTAATGCTATTAATAATATTGGAATAGCAACAACAATTATTAATATGGCTAATATTGGAGTTAATATCCATGATAACAATAAAAATAATATTGATTTAAGTTTTGACCAACGTTTTTTACCATAAAATGTACAACCGGTTGGAGTTATAAAATGTAAATTATCAACTTCTTTCATACATAACCAACAAAATTCACATGTACATATAGCACAACGTATGTGATTGCATGAACCATCGTTTAATTTTTCTATTGGACTTTTACCTAAGATAATAAAGTTTATAGATAATTATTTTGTAATTGAGAACTTAATATGGCAATTAAATTTATATTAGAAGCGCACCTCAACAATTGATCTTTGATCAGGTCTATTCAAACCGAATGAAATTGTCAGGATATATCGTGAGATGTAGTGGAGAAACTACGATAGAATTTTCAGCTCTATACTATGATATTTTCAAAAGATATTCAAAAAACAAGGATCAAAACGTCTCATTTAGTAACCTAAAATTCTCTATGAGTCTTCATTATATGCCCTTCATTTTTCTTGTGTTCAAAAAAAATCATGTTAAAGTCCTTGCTTTTAAATTATTACTTTTTAAGACAAGAGAAGTTCAATAATTAGAAAAAATCCTAAAATATGGTGCTCTAATTACACCGGCACTCTTTAATCTAATCTTAACAAAACTTAATTCAAGAAAAGGAGACTATGTAGGGGCGTAATTGAATCATTGAAGACAGAGGAAGCCAAACATAGACAAATGTCAAAACCAGGGGATGTTACATTTCACGCTCTCTTCCTCTGAGCTAGGCCTCTAGGAATGCGTTGGAATTCTATCTCAAACAAAAAAAAGCCATGGTTATCATGAGATTTCTTCGAAAATCCTGGGATATGCAATCGAAGAATCGTAAACAGAAACAAAAGCATATTTTTCAAGTAGAGATTGAGCGAAATTTTTAGAAAAACTGAGATGACCAATAAAAGTTACATTATTTATTCAAGGTCAGGCCTTGAATTACCATCT